ACCCTTATAGCTTGGTAACATATTTTGGTATGATCTAAATTTTCACTTCCTCCACATTGTTTGATGAAAAACTGAATTTTCATCCCCTAATTTCACCAAGCTGCAAAAACTAATGTGACGGGAATATAGAACCAGACCATGGTGAGAGGTAAATGTGTTCACTTTTTGATAATTTTGTTAGCCAATGTGATAGATGTGTATGCTTTGGACCACATTGAAAACCTTAACAAATTACAAGGGCAAACTTGTTGGAATTAGAACTATAAGGATTCAGGTGGGGTCAGTGTTAAACATTTGGGATCAAAGTATAATTTAGCCTCCTAATATTTAGAACAATACTGAAAAAGAGTAATGAAACTTTTGCATCTTTATGTATAAGCTTTTGAAGTCTACAATTTGGATTTTGTTATGAGTGAAAATGGTAAACTTTTGTCATCAAAGTTGACAGTTTCTCTCCTGTTTTATTCGTATTGTGGGACTAGGAGTACTGCTCTTGCTTTTGTTTCTTTTACGTCTGCAAGTTTTCTGTTCCAATGACACCGAAAGGCAAGATACTGGAGGGAAAGTTCATATAATTAAATTGTGTAATGAAGATCAGTCTAACTCTTGAAAGGATAATTTTTAAGATATAGGGTACATGCTCTTTCCAGTGAGTGACAATATTGGTTACATGCTGGGAGCTGGCCTTGATAATTGTGCTCAAATTCAGTGTGATCTTGGATCATTTCACATACGTAGTTGTGGAGCTGATACGGCAGTCCACCTAAGTAAAGAACTCAACAGTAATGCTAGGCTGAAAAGGCTGGTTTAACTGTAATTAATGAGGCTTTTGATTATGCAAGTATGGTGATGGGTCCTGCATGATAATCCTTTTAGTTGTAAGAAAAGGCCATACTGGTGGTATAATTGGAGTTTCATGTTCCAATAATTAGCATTTTAAAGTTAGCTGTAGTGTTACCCCTTGTGAATTACATCCAATTGCAGTTTTCTCTTCATTTTCTATCTTGCGAGTTACTGATTTGAAAGTTAGTTGCCATTGAGGCGTTCAGCTATGAATCGATGCTTTGTTTCAAAGTCCCTTGAATATTTTGTGGGCTCATTTAGATTTGTACTTGAGACAGTAATTATATATCTTTGTCCTTTGACATGCATAGCCAAAGTTATATTTCCAGTGCTTTATTCAGATCATATATAGAGAACTTATGTTTCCATACAAATTTAATCTCAGGTGCCTGGAAAATCTGCACAGGAGTGCTTTGATAGAGTCCATTATGAGCATATAACCCCACCTCCACCTCGTACCCGATCAAGGGCAGAGATCTTAAAAAATTCATCCCCACTTGGACAATTTTCACTCTCTGCAAGTAAACTACTTAAACCCACTGAGCCAAAGGCTAAAAGGTCAAACTGCAATAAACAGAGGAGTCATATTGCCCAGAAAACTGTCAGAAAGTTATTACAAAAGCATCATCAAGTGTACCAGGATTATGAGGCAGATCTATTTTCAGTACTTGAGCCCAGTCTAGATTCATCTACTGAGAGTCAGCCTAGTGTAATACTTTCTACCCCAAAGAATTTAAAGGGAAAACAGGGACTTCTGCAAAAGTGCAGTCAAAGATCTTCAGATCATAATATGAAGCCCATGTCGAGATTTAGTAGCTCATGTGGGGAACCTCTTGTTAGCCCCCCTGTATTGAAGCAGGTCAGAAATAGGGTCTGGCATGAGAAGTATATTGACCAATTACATAACAGGGAAGCTAAGAGAAAAGCAGCCTCTACATGCACTAAAAAATCCACCGTCCAGGAAGTGGATATGGTCAGAACTGCAAAACTTGCCCTGGTTTCTGAAGCAAGAGATGCTATCAATAAGCTCCAACATCTGCAGGCCAATGCCATGGAAAACTCTTCTGATTTGGATGAGGATGGGATTGTAAATGACGATGAGGAAGGCGAAGACGATACTTAGTGATGTGATTTATCTCCTTTCTTTTTCTCAGCTATGTAACATACTAATAGAGATGTAGCATTTCCTATCACAATAATTGAAGATGCCTTCTGTAACTGCTTACTTTGGAACCTGTAGTGTATTCTATCATTGATCCCTAAATTTTGTAATTTTTTTTATTTTTTATTTTGTAAAAGAAATCCAACTTCTTCTTTGATGATTTCATTATTTGTTTCATATCCTCATGCAATGTATTTAAAACTCATCTGATTTCAGCTTGGGTAATTAAGCAAATGGAAGACAACGACGGGTGAGATATGTCGGCTAATCTTTGACTAATTAAACCCTATGAATCTGTTTTTATGCATGTTGCGTCAATTGTGGACTTAAAGAATGTTTGGTGTAATTTCGCTAACCATACCTTTGTCGTTATAAAGAATGTTTGGCCTTGCAGTGTTCCATCTTGAATTATCTAAAAAGATGAGGTCTGTATCCCACAGAATGTCGTGTTCTCGGACTATTGGACCCGACATTCTGATAGTTATATTGTCAAACTGTGAATTGAATCGCAGATTCAAACAAGAACAGTTATATTGTCGAACTATGAATTGAATCGCAGATTCAAAGAAGAACGTGCAAAGAAATCATTACCCTTGGTTGAAGGTGAGGGATCACATCTGATGAAAATTTCTGGGGGAAAACAACAAGGTTTTGCTAATTTATTAAACATGCACAGTCCTAGCATCTCATTAATCAAGAAGTGTAGATTAAATTAGCTAGTTTGGCCAAGTAAACTATCGAGTGAAAGGAACAACAATTGTTTTGGCTTTAAGGCCTCGTTTGTTTGGGAGGACTCGACTAGACTAGCAAAACACCTACATTTCATGTGCAATCCATGCATAATTTGGATATTGTTGTCTAACTTGGAGGATGAAAGAGGACTATTCATAAGAGGTTGATGACTAAAACTTATCCCTCATAATCCCACCATTTTTAAGGGATTAGGGGGATAAGTTTCAGTCATCAACCTCTTATACATAGTCCCCATTATTCCTCCAAGTTAGGCAAAATATGCATATTATGCCTTGAATGCACATGAAACATAGACATTTTGTTAGTTTAGTCCTGTCTAATCCTCCCTATCAAACAAGCCCTGCATAATTGGTGGGAAAAAGAAAATTTTGATGACTCTTCATGAATTAATTTCTCTGGTCGTTGTCATGGTTTCTATGCAGTTTATCATTTCTGGTGCTTTAGTTTTGTTCTTCAGAGATTTAGGGACAACAAGTCTCTGCCCGTAATATAGCAACAAGAAAACATAATGTAGCCATTGAAACGCAGAAAAGAAGCAGAAGAAAATCAAAGGCAAAAATCTTTATTACTGTCATCTGTTTTGGTTAGAAGTGGAACTAGTGACCCTTATGTTGGAAGATATATATATACCTCAACTTCAGTGGATAATACAGAATAGACTTCTACAATGGATCTGATAAATGGACATTTATTTAAAACGACAAATATAATTACAGCTCCTCACTTGGAAAATCTCATGGAGACCTGTAAAAACCATCTCTCCAGACTTCAATTGTAATTTGTAAGCAGCCGTTTTCATTTTGCACCTCTTGTTCCTACAAACATCTTCCTCCATACCCTGCATTTCTGAACAATGCTTGCTTTATGTCCTCAGGACTTAACAAAGTTCTCTGCTCAGCTCCCTAAAAGGTCATTAGAGAAACATAAACATTAAAAACCAAAGTTTTATTGGAAGCTTTTGCACAACCAGCTAACATATGTATAGGCCAACCAAGTTTATATACACAAACCTCTGAACATGAAGCTTGCATTGAAAAATCATTGAAGCAGCTTATAACACACTGTTGAATCTCAAGGCCCAGTGCTTCTATAGTATTCACTGTTGACAGCAGCAATCCTGGCTTGGCTGCACAGCAGATGTCTATCCGGGTATCCATGTCTCTCCTCTCCACCTCAAACTGTATATATGGTCAATGAGGCAAAAGTGAGAGAGAGAGAGAGAGAGAGATGAAAGAATTGAAGTAATTGGATAAAAACTTGATTTTGAGGTCATAATGTGAAATTGGTGTATGAATTTTACCTTGGGGGAATTTCTGACTAATACCTCACTTGGCTTTAGCTCCTTGGAGATGTCCATTAAGTTGATCTGATTAGTACCCTCTTCAATTCCTTCTTCTTGCAACTTATTGATTCTTTCCAAAAGCTCTTTCATATAATCTATTGTGTCTCCAAGTATAGATGTTCTGTCCATCTGAGACAAATATCTCAATATTATTAGTAGTGTGGATTTGGCCAACCTCAGAAAGCAGATAAATTCTGTTTTATCAGTGGAACATCAAGAACAATGAAATGAAATGCCACCATTATTGATCTTGCACAATAATGATAAAAGGAAAAAGATTGAAACTTTCAACAAATGCAAAACATAAATCACCTTGCTTATCTTGGGGACTATTGATCTGAGCATGGAAAGGCGGTCATTTAAGCGCTTCCTCCTTCTTCTCTCTGCCATAAGATTCTTTGAAGGTTGCCCTTCTAACTTCTTAGCCTTGCTTCTTTTCTCACCACACAACCCCATATTAAAAGCTGAAGGAATATGATCTGTGGCTTGTTGTTCCATCTCAACTTTGCAAGTAGCAATGTTCTTGCTTTCCTCCAAACAGCTTCTCTGATTCTCACTTCCAAGAAACCCCCCAAACTCCTCATCTTCCACCATTGAAGGGTAATCTTGATCTTGTGATGGAAATGGGGGGGCAGTAGGGTCATTGTCCTTGGTGTATGATGAATCAATCTCTGGCACCGTACAGAGTCCATCAACAAAAGGGTATGAGGAGGCTTGATGATGGTCAGTAGAAAATGGGCATTCTTCAAAGCTTGGTGGTTGATCGGTTTGTGTGGAGAACCCAGAAAATGGAGGATTATTAACTGAAGAAACCAAAACTGGGTTCTCTTCAAAAGAATCAAAGCTCCATCCATTAATGGGAAATAACTCATTCAATCCAGAGGAGTTGGAGGAGTAGGTGCTCCAACTGTCTCTTCTTGGTGCCAGTAGTAGCTCCTCTAAGAAACCATGCTGGGTAAGCTCCATCTCTCTCTCTCTCTACACTGTTTAAGAAGGGAGTGGGGGAAAGGAAATCTATAGAGGAGCTAGGCTTAAGAACATGAAGTTGCAACAAGTTGAAGGAAATTCAGATATAAACATATTTATAAAATGGTCCATTTTCCTCATCAACAATGCATTATTAATTTATTGCAAAATGCATATAACTATATTAGAGTGTGTGTATGTTGTGTATGAAAATGTGAAGGTAAAATGTCTCATATTTGAAAGTTAAGAAACTCAGTAAGGACTTATAGGGAGTTGAGCTACTCTCCTAATTATCAATTGATTTTGGGGTGGAATCTCAACTTCTTTCATAGTATCAGAGCGGTTTAATCCGCGTATGAAAGCCTAACGATTACACGTAATTCACGTCACCTAACATGTGTTCTCCATAGTATGTGTAGCAGCACCTAAGAGCTATAGCCTAAGGCCCTAAGATTGAAATGGAATCTGCTTTTTCCTCTCTCACGAAGGTAAAAGGTCTCACATTTGAAAGTTAAGAAACTCAATAAGGATTTATAGGGAGTTGAGCTACTCTCCTAATTATCAATTGATTTTGGGATGGAATCTCAACTTCTTTCATAGTATCAAAGCGGTTTAATCCGCGTATGAAAGCCTAACGATTACACGTAATTCACGTCACCAACATGTGTTCTCCATAGTATGTGTAGCAGCACCTAAGAGCTATAGCCTAAGGCCCTAAGATTGAAATGGAATCTGCTTTTTCCTCTCTCTCTCTCAATCTCAAGGTGAATTTATGTCTTTTTCACCGAAATTATTAATCAGACAAACTTGTTATTTAAATATCCATACCCTGCAAGCTTTGACCCACAAATCTGTCTGAACCGAAAAAGGATGCATTTTAGCATCAGATTGTCAGGTATTTATTATTTTATTTTATTTTATTTTTTCTATAGCTTCTCAAATATGACTGGATGAACATGCAGAAATAATGCATCTCTTTGTTTCTCTCTCTAATGACTAGGCATGGATAAATCAGCCTATGTTTGTTCTATATGTGATTAGTGCATGTAAGGAATATTCAACGAAACAGGAAAATTAAAGTGCATGTACACTAAATTCCTATTACGGCAATTAATATAAGTTCTTAGCTAATATTTTATTGTTTACCTAAGTTTTTACTCTGTTGCATATAACATGTAAAGAAATTATTCTTTCGAGCGGATGTGCTCTCTATTCTATATTTGAGTTCGAATCCTCTTCATTGTAGTTTAGATTACATTAAAGTAGAATATTATTTGTATAAAAATTTAAAAAAATTGCTCTATCGCTACAGCGGATATAACATGTGAAGAAAGTATTTCTTTAAAGATTAATAGATGTTAATGTGAATGTATAAAATTTTTAAAAAATTGCTCTATCGCTACAACGGATATAACATGTGAAGAAAGTATTTCTTTAAAGATTAATAGATGTTAATGTGAAGTATAGTACATAATTACCCAGATCATAGTAAAGAATCATACTTTTTTTAAGGAAGAATGGTAACCAAATTTACTTGCTCTCAGAACGAACATTAATTTATTTTAGTAGAACGCCTAATATACACATACTTACTCACTCTAACTACATATAAGAGTACATG